GAAATCTACCAGCAGAAGCTAAATCATTTTGTAAAAGACCTCACGTTTGCTTTACTTAAATTGTGTATATGTTTAAACATAAGCTGAGTCATCCTTAGGTTTTAACGTCTATTTTAAACATTTTGTTCCTCTTTCTGTCCTGACTTGAAGCCTGGTTCGCCTCTTCTCCTCTACCAGAACTTGCAGTGCAGCCACTTCCTCCTGCCCTTCCTTCCTCTTCCTCCTCATCCTCCTCGTTCCTCTGGAGGTGCTACCCTCTCATCCTCCATCTCCTTTCATCTGCTATTCTCCTCCTCACCTCCTGTCGCTCTCCATCCCTCTGCTGAGCACAGGTATTTGTTTAGGAATCTCTCGGTGGAAATTACACTCCATCTCCGGCGCTCCCTATCAACACACAATTATCATGGGCAATGATGCAGAACAGCACTGAATTCAGCTGGGACTCCCACTCTGATGACATTACTGACTGCAAGGCCCGGCTTCTGCAGGAAGTAGACTACACCTGCATCATACCTCCATCTATTACTCCTTTACCTCATTTTTCCCCTCCCAATGGCACACTCATGCTCAAATATGGATTGAGGAATTAATAAACGTTCTTTTTTTTTTCGTTGTCATATTTAATTAAGCTGGAAGTCCACACAATAAGAAATCTTTTTCCTGGCTCCAGTGTCAAACATGCCTATGCTGTGAGCTTATCTTACAATTTATGAGCGTTTGCCCGCCTGAAAGGCTTCCTGCTCGTGACCTGCAGTGATTTTACCACAGCGTGGATTCTCCTGAAGATGTTGTGGCACAATGTGGAGGCGGTAATTTGAAATTGCACAAATTTGGAAGTGTGAGATCTCCTTCATTAGGGTCTATTGTGCAGGGCAAAGTCAGCGTCACAGAATGATCAGAGCCTTGCATTGTGTCAGTCCCTCCCTGCATTCTGAGGCAAACTGCAGATGCATTTCCCTACGTACGATAAGTACATTATAAATCTTGAAAGGCTCAGAGTTGATGCAGACACATGAGAATCAACACAGCAGTACATTCAGATCCTGATCAAATGCTCCATTCATGAGTGAAATTACCATCCGTCTGTCAGCCAAGGTGTGAATTCTTTCATCTAGCCATCGCAGCTCTGAAGTTGTGATTAAATGCACAACGCCACGTGCACTCCAGGCTCCAGATAAGCAAAATGGATTTCAGCCTCTCAGGCTTAAGCAAATGAAATGAAACAGCACTGCCATCTTGTGGCAGTTCATTTGTCCCATTTTATTCACAAGTCATGCATTTTTATTCTTTAATTTTACTGACATTGAGCATTTATTTTACACTCTGACCAAAAGTAGCAGCAGACAATCATGTTTTTGTCTGTCTGTTAGCAAAATATATCATAAACCACTGAACGGATTTCAATGAAACTTGCAGGAAATAATAATAGGATGTACATCTAAATGATTATCTTTAAAAGTTCAAGTTCAAGTAGGTTTTATTATCATTCGCATCACATGTGGTACATGAGGTGGAACGAAATTGTGTACACAGGGTCCCAGTTACATCCAACAATAGCAAAAATATAAAGTGTAGAAAGAAACAGTAAATACAGAGATAAGATAAGATAAGATAAGATAAGATAAGATAAGACTGAACTTTACTGATCCTACAGGAAATTGTGCCAGAGTTTCAGTACAAAGGAACATACACAAGAATCACAAGATATAAAAGCAACAGAGAATATAAAATAATAATAATAACAGAGAATATAAAAAATAACAATAACAGAGAAGATAAGAATGCCAACAATTAAGTTCTAAACAGGACAGGTGCATTCAGAAACATTAAAGAGTTTATTGTAGTACAGAATTAATTTTTATTTTATTTTTATATAAACATACGCTAAACACTGATAGTGCAAAACAATACAGCAAACAACAGCAGCAGGAACATGAGTCTGTATGAGCAGATGAGTACGAATGAATACAGCAGCATAAAATAATCAGCAGCACATATCAACAATCAAAGTGGCATTACAGTGATTTTTTTTTCTCTCACGGTGATAATCCTGATTAGGGATTCACGAGTCTAATATCTTCGGGGTATAGCTGTTCCTCAGTCTAGTGGTTCTACACTTAATGCTCTTCAACCTCCTGACTGAGGGGAGCGGGGCCAAAACTGTGTGTGCTGGGTGAGTGGGGTCCTTCATGATACAGATTTTAGAGCCAGCCCAATCAAAGATGTTTGCCATATCCTGCTAAGCTAAAAAACACAAAAACACTAGAATTCTGTCAATTTTTTTCCAATATTGGGGTAAAATTTGTTATAGTTGCTGCTAAGGGTCAGTCATTTCAAGTGTTAACCGCTCTGTGAGATCTTTGTTTAAATGTTAGCTGTGAGAATCTGTGTTCTGTCTTGTGTCATTTCTTTAGATTCTTGTGTTTATGTACTTGTGTGTCCTGCCTTCATCAGTGTTTCTTCCTTCATGTTGTCACCTCCTGCTTCACCTGCTCCCATCCACCCCAGGTGTTCATCATTTTGTCTCATTGATGTCCCTTTAAGTTCTAGGTCTTTGTGTTTACTTGTTGTCTGTGGATTGTGCTTCCCATAGCCGTCATGCTCGATCTTCCTTCGTGTCTCCCTGCACCTGAGATTTTGTGAGTTTTGCTGTCATGACAGTCTTTTTGTTTCTTTAAATAAATAGTTGTTCTTTATTTCAGTGGTTCTCAAACTGGGTTCATTACCCCGGAGCTTGGGGGTGTGCAAAAAAATAAAATAAAATAAAAATTTTATTTTGATAAGATAAGATAAGATTATTTCCACCAAGGGCCACATCGACATCATGGTTGCCCTCAAAGAGCCAGATGTGACTGTAAGACAGTATAAATGTAGCTAAATTTAACTAAATTTAATGTAAAATAAATGTAACTACTCCTTAATGTTAAATAACTGAATTTTTTACTTATTCAACTTACAAATATTACATATATATATATATATATATATATATATTTGCATAGATGTAGAAAAAACATATCTGCTGTTATAACATAAAACCTTTTAATTTGTCAAGTTATGAAACCCACATCACTCCATAAATCAATGGTCAAACTTTCCAAGTGAATAAGGAAAAATAAGTTATGACATCAACTTTGTTCAAAACTTTTTTGTCGTAGTTAAGAGGGGTAGAATAACGATCCAACCAACAATTGTGAGCTGCTAAGAACATGTGACAAGTGTAGCATTTTATAAAAAATAAATGGCTGCACACAGCCTGACAAGGGTCATACAGCCAACTAATGAGAGATGGTTTTATTATAGATAACTTTTGCCTGCATAAACACATAAACTGGCAATCCTTAATACATTGCTGCCAATTTAACATAATATAATAAAATACATTTAATAAGTATAAGAAACCCAAAATAACAACATTGGGGTTGAAGGATCACTTTGGCATACTTAGCTCCGTGTTTGGTGTCAAAATGCCGACGCAGATTGCACTCTAACGACCACCACTTCCTCATAACGCAAAAGACATACTGGTTTGTCTCCTTGAAGCACAAGCATATCTTTGCCTTCCCATTTTTCTTGAAACAGTCGTCCATCTGCATCAACTTTTCTCTTCCTGGACATTTGGGGATCATTGTTTGTATTTTTCAGTTCCACTTGTTTGGAAAATGATATTGATGTGGAAAAACTACAGTCTAGTGATGGGATGCTGTTACTTTGCAGATAACATAATAGGCATGCATTATGGGAAATGTAGTTTGTTGTCAGTCCACCCTTTTGACTTATTTATTACATGATAATCAGACATTTTAAGCTCTCATGGGCCACATAAAATGATGTGGCAGGCCACATCTGGCCCCCGGTCTTTAAGTTTGACACATGTGCTTTAGCAGAACCAGGCTCAGGACAAGCGGCCAACTTTTTTGACCGGCTGGGTTTGAGAGGAACAGGAAGGAGGAACAGATACACAATGGCAGGTTGAGAATCACATGTTAAGATAGAAATAATTTCAAATGCAAACTATTCATTTGTAACAAGTGATTTTAAGAAATGAGCTCAATTTGTCCTCTAGTAGTCTATGCCTATAGCAGCATAACAAGAAAATCCTAACTGATTTATCAAAAAGCAAAGTCTTAAGCCCACCAAGCATGCAGATGTTTAACAACATGTTAAAATACAAAAAATGCATGAAATCACATTTACTTTATTCAAAATTTTCTGGGGGAGGACCCCCACTCCACCAGCCCACCTGCGATTTTCATTCCAGCATCGACTGGTTTACAAATGAAGCTCTGTTATTTGGTCTGACTACTGTTGTTCTGATTCTGTTCAGTTTTATGTTCAGAGTTCTCTGTAATAATTTGAAGAAGTGGCAATAACTTTATGTTCATTATGTGAATAGGTAAAGTTTTAAAATGGTTTTTGATGCTGTTAATTTTCTCAAAACTATAATTTTTGGAAGTTGAAATTAAAAATGTTGTTAATTAAGTGTCTTGAGTGAAAAATACCCCATGTTTAAAGTATAAAAATGGTATTAACACTATTAAAGAACAAGTCTTAAGTATTTATGTTACACAAATATTTCCATTGCATTAAAGAGACAATTGAAGCAAATTATTTAATAAACATGAGGGTTATGAGGGGGTCCCTGAACCCAAAAACTTTGAGAACCCCTGTTTTATTTTATTCCTGAGTTGCCTATGACTGCCTGCACCCTGACTTTAATACAACCACAGATCATATTAGTATTAACTGTTAAAGTCAACACTTGTTTATCTGTTAGCAAAATTTATTTAAAGTTTATTTAATAATAAACTGGATGGATATCAGAAAGTAATCAGTAGATCATTACCTTTTGCACTCACTCCATTTCAAGATGGCATCCACAGATAATCCACATTACAACATAAAAATGGCTTAATGGAAAAAGTGACATTATTTTGTTGTAGATTTTTTTTTTCAAAGTTGTTTGAACGAGAAAATAAATCCACTTACCATGAATCACAGCCTTTTCATTTTAATGCCAAACAAATAACAGAAAAATAAATGCATTTCATTGACAGACGTAACATTTTTTTCATCACAACACACTTAAAGAGTAGATAAACCTATGGTGAAATCATTTATAACAAGCATGTATGAAGATAAAACTGTTGCTCCATTCAGAAACTAATCTGTGCTTTACAAACTGACGTTTATATTGAAATAATACTGCTGAGAAACTCAACAGCCTCATGTGCAGGGTCAGCACTGAGCCACAGAAAATATATGAAAATGACAGCATCCATGGATGTGCACAGTCACAGTACAAGCTGGATTTAGTTTACATACAATATAGAAAGTTGTGAACATTGAACAAACGGCATATCATCATGTGATGCAGTCAAAAAGCTGCTGATCAGGTGAACTTTTCAGGTGAACTTGCATTGTTGTGTTTATATAAAAATCTTTGCAGTTTTCAGTGTTTTTATGTTTTCCTCCTCCAAAACACCGGATGTGAAAAAGGTGAACTCATGGTTGAGAAGTAACTGTTTAAGAAAAATATAAGTTGAAGCACAAAAACACATACAAAAAAGTTAAGGGGGCCAGGATTAGAAAAGGCCCTGCTATATAATGGAAAACATTAATTTCATTAATTTGCTCTTTTTTTTCCATCCATCCATCCATTATCTTTGCCCGCTTCTTCCTTTACAGGTCACGAGATTCACTGGTGCAGTCACTGTGTGGGAGGTGGGGGACACCCTGGACAGGTCCAAGTCCATCACAGGGACACATAGAGACAAATGAGACAAACATTCACTCTCTCACTCACACCTAGAGACAATTTAAAGTTACCAATCAGCCTCTTTTAATCAGATGCTTTGATTATTTTCAATGTTTCAAATGTCATAAACTCAAACTTGGACACTCAACATTTGAATTTATACAAAATGATCCACATGGTTTGATCATCACTGAGTCTTGTAGACGTGAAATGAACGTGAAAATAAAACGCCTTTCCTTGTTTTTCAGTTGTAGTTCTTGACGGTTCGACCAATAAGAAGGAAAAGAAGGCCGGCCATGAGGGCGAAGAAGGCGCCAATGGGAGCAAACATGAATGAAATGCCGTAGCTCAGGGACACTTGGAAGTCTGGACACAGTAGAGAGCGGTTCTCTTGGACGTGGGCGTCTATCTCACCTGACAGCTGAAACCACAGGACGAACATCACCACGCAGCACAGCAGGAAGAAGCCTGGGGGCGCAGAAGAGGGAGAGAGGTAACATAGATTCTGCAATTAAATTACATTTAAATTAAACACCTAAAAAATATTATTCTGGTGGACTAAAACACCATATCAAGTATCCAGAAAATATTTTCAACATGTTTTTTTAAGTTAGATGTTCAGGATAAATGTTCAATAATTACATGATAAATTATATTTTATGCTGTTAATTATTAAACTCAAAATATTTGTTTTCTCAACAGAGTCCACCATCTTTCAGTTCTGGGATCATACGAATCAGGATAAAAAAAAAAAATTTAAATCAAGTCTTTACCTTTAAAGTTCAGTTCTAACCTCTTGTGTACAATAAATAAATAAATAAATAGTAATGTATTATGTTTATTCTCTAAACAAAAAAAAAAAGCCCAACTGAGTAAGCTGTGTGTGAAAATGTAACTAAGGAAATCATCTATGATTAATGGGCAGCACCAGGTGCTTTTCTGAGGTGACTGCTGATGTCTTTCTGCCTTGGCATTGTGTTAACAAATAATTTCCGGTGTATAAGTCGCATCAGTCAAAAAAAAGAGGAAAAAAACATATAATTCGTTTCGGCATATAAGTCGCATTTATTATGTGTCACCGCTGACTCGTCACGTTTATTATGCATTTATTTAATGGGCAAAACAGCTTAATTTCACCTGGGCGGCGTGACGCCATCCATCCATCACGGCCAGAGCTGCTAGCTCTCCAGCGTTCCTCCACCTGCACCAGCTGAGTGGAGCAAGCACGGGAGGACTCGCTGTTGCAGTACTTAGAAATTTAAAGCGTCAGTCAAAAATTGCATTATGGATATGGAAAAAAAAAAACGTATATAAGTCGCTTCCGTGTGCGTATAAAACGCAGGACTGACAAATCTATTTAAAAAAAAAACGTGACTTATGCACCGGAAAATACGGTACCTGTTTGCTCCAGAGCAGCAAACTGCTAAAAATCCTGTTTTAATAGATGTGGTCAATCAAGTAATCATTTGATCAGCAGCACCTGGTTGATACTTTCCCTCTTAAATTCTGTGGAAGCAGCGATGGAGGATTTAGTTTTTCCGCACAGCTTTTTCATTTTGGCTTCGTTTTATGCCACAGTGGAATCTGTTCAGTCTGACTGAAATATTTTTAGAACCTGGTGAAGTTTATTTTTTTAGAATCTACATGAAACAATGAACAAGTATTCTTAAGCATGTATGATTTGTTTACTATAAACTCACCAGATATGAGGAAGAGGCCACCTCCAGTTTTATACAAGCAGTGGCTCGCAAACGGAGCAGCACAGATGATGAGAAACCCACCGAGAACCACAGTTGCCACACTAATGAGCATAAAGACGCTCCAGAATCCTCTGTAGACTGTACAGCAGGGATGTTAACCAACTGTGCAGAACCACTCCATCATTGAGAAAGAATGCACAGACGATAGAATCAGATACTTACTCATGGAAGGACTATAACCAGTGTCGGTCTCATTTTTGGTTAGCTGAGGGTATGTGTAGAGATATGCAGGCATACAGGTTTTCATGTCGCCCCGGTTTTCTGCAGAAAAGAGGTGTTCATGTATTTTAACACCTTAATAAACATGAAATAAAAATGTAGAGCAGAAAACAAAACTTTGACCTCAGAACCACACCAAAATGTGCTTCATGCTTGTAAATGTTATTATCCCCCCCCATGCGTTTTTTACATTTCACTCTTATTTTCTAAAGCATGTGAATTTTCCAATGCTCCCCCCAAGTCCTTTTATTTCCCACAGTGGCAGAAGGGGTGCAGCACCTCTAAAAATGTATTTGCTCCACAAAGTAATTCCTCCTAATAAATAATGTAAATGACCTATATTTACTGAGCTTATATTGTTTTCTTCTGTGTATTTTCAACTATTTTATCATTTTAAATGGAATTGAAAATGTTTCTTTTTTAATTGATTACTCCTCAGCTTTTTATCTAAAGTAATAGGGCGATACTGTTCAGAACCCACGTTCATCAGAACCACAGTGTAGGCTGTGATAAATCAAGGGTTAAAGCACAAAGTTTGTTTTCTCAGTCATCCAGGTATATAACAACAAAAAAG